TCGCAACATGCGTAACCGCTCATCTTCTAATGAGAGTGAAGAATACTCCAACCGATGGATATTCGATTTCGCTAAAAAGGTCTGTCCGGACTCAGTTCCAGCACAACACATTCTTCGAGAAGCGCCTCCGAGCGGCAGCTCTCTGGATAGACCATTCTCAATGCTGGATTTCTCTATGGCTCTTCTTTCATCGAACAACTCCTCACCGGGAAGCGATATGATTAAATTCAATCTTCTGAAAAATCTCCCAGATATCGCTAAAAGACGCTTGCTAGATTTATTCAATTCCTTGCAAGAAAACAACATTGTACCGCCTGAATGGAGACAGGTCAAAGTAATAGCCATTAAAAAACCTGGCAAATCAGCGTCTGACCATAACTCATACCGTTCGATTGCTATGCTTTCGTGCATTAGGAAATTGTTGGAGAAAATGATCCTTCGGAGACTCGATCACTGGGTCGAATCAAATAACTTGCTATCAAATACACAGTTTGGGTTCCGCAAGAGCAAAGGAACAAACGATTGTCTAGCGCTGCTTTCCACAGATATTCAACTGGCCTTTGCGCACAAGGAGCAATTGGCTTCAGTATTCTTGGACATTAAGAGGGCTTTTGATTCAGTTTCCATTGAAATTCTATCAGACAATCTGCACAGATGTGGACTTTCTGGAATTTTAAATAATTTCTTGTACAATTTGTTGTCAGAAAAGCAAATGAACTTTTCTCTTGGAAAACTGACAACTTCCAGAATTAGGTACATGGGCCTGCCCCAAGGCTCATGTCTCAGCCCTCTTCTTTATAACTTTTATGTCAAAGATATCGACAACTGTTTGGCAGAACAATGCACGCTAAGACAACTTGCAGATGACGGTGTGGTTTCCGTAAGAGGTCCACATGCCGTGAACTTGCAAGGACCATTGCAAAATTCCTTAGATAACTTGTCTTCTTGGGCTATGAATCTAGGGATCGAATTCTCGCCGCAGAAAACTGAACTGGTAGTGTTTACTCGAAAGCGGTACCCAGCCCAAATGCAGCTTAATCTTTTGGGCAGAAACATTACTCAATCATTGTCTTTCTAGTACCTTGGGGTCTGGTTTTATTCAAAGTGCACTTGCAATACCCATATTACGTATTTGAAGCAAAAATGTCAACAGAGGATCAACTTTCTCCGTTTAATTTGCGGCACATGGTGGGGTGCTCATCCGGGAGACCTCATAACGCTTTATAAAACAACTATTCTCTCTGTTCTAGAGTACGGCGCTTTCTGCTTTCCCTGGGCAAGAAAAAGTCACCTAATAAAATTGGAAAAAATAAAAGTCACCTAATAAATCGTTGTCTGCGTATTGCTCTAGGCTGTATGCACTCAACGCATAACATGAGTCTCGAGGTTCTGGCAGGAGTAACACCCCTCCAGAACCGTTTCTGGGAGCTCTCTCTCTGAATACTAATCAAATGCGGAGTGACGAACACACTTATAATTGCTAATTTTGAAGAAATTCTTGGGCTGAACACACAATCTCGATTTATGAGAATCTAGCACTACTATATATCGTCAGATATGTGTCTTCCTTGTTATACTCCAGACCGTGTTCACTTCACCAATCGCAGCTCTTCAATTGAATATGATCTGACCATGAAACAAGCAACTCATGGGATTCCCGATCAACTTCGACCTATTATTATTCCGCGTATTTTTACTGAAAAGTACCAACAAGTCAATTGCATGAAAAGATATTTTACAGACGAGTCCCGTCTCAATGGATCCACTGGCTTCGGTGTCTTCAATGAAAACTCTAGCGCCTTCCGCAAACTTCAGGAGCCTTGTTCCGTTTTTGTTGCTGAGCTGGCAGCAATCAACTTCGCATTGGGGATGATTTCCAACATGCCCGCAGACCATTACTTCATCTTCTCGTTGGATTGAGGCTATTCGGTCGATGAAACAAGGTAGGCACTCATCTTATTTCCTTTCAAAGGTAAGGGAGCAGATGTGTGTGCTGGTCGAAAGATCATATATGGTTACCTTTATATGGGTCCCCTCACATTGCTCAATCCCAGGCAATGAGAAGGCGGACTCTCTCGCAAAGGTGGGCGCGCAGGAAGGCGAATTTTATGACAGGCAAATTTCACACGATGAATTTTACCATTTAGTGCGTCAAAGTACCTTTTCGAGTTGGCAAACCGATTGGGACAGTGGAAATCTTGGACGGTGGTTACATTCAATTATTCCTAATGTTTCTTCGAGAGCGTGGTTTAAAGGCTTGGGCTTAAGTCGTGACTTCATTCGCGTGATAAGTAGACTTATGTCCAACCACTACTCGCTAGATGCTCATCTCAATAGAATAAACCTCGTGGACAGCAACATCTGTCGGTGTGGAAACGGTTACGATGACATCGAACACGCAGTTTGGCAATGTACGGATAATGACGCCGCCAGAGAGCGACTTTTGAATACCCTCGAGGCCCAAGGAAGACAACCCTATGTTCCTATCTGAGACGTGTTGGGAACTCGCGATATCTGCTATATGCAGTCGGTTTATGTGTATCTTCAAATGTCTAGTATAAGAATTTAATTCCTTTGTCTTTTGTCTCTCTTTAATAGTTTTTGTTTGTCTTTTCCCCCCGTCTCGATGAGTCTCATCGTCGCCCACTGGTCACCCACCATAGCCGGTCGAACTCCGGACGAAGCTAGAACAGCACTACCGTTCATACTGGCGACAACGCTCTGATGAGACAACGAAACCCTACCCCAAGCTCCTCTCCTGATCCTATCCTTCGAAAATGTACCCTTCTAACTCGAGTAAGCCGCGAGTAATCGGCCCAACTCCTACTACACATAGAATTAAGTGAATTTTGTTACACACAGTGAACAATGCTAACGTGAACGTTACGATGAACGTGTGGTGACGCTCTGGTTGCCGCAACTTGCTCTCTCAACGCGCCATATTGAGTAATCCAGCGGATTAAAATCGGGGCTGGATGGCGGCCACATATCCTTCGCCCAAAACGGAAGATGTTCCTGCAACCACTTCTGAGTGTGGTTCGAGGTGTGGCACGGAGCCCCATCTTGTTGAAATACAAAATTTGGCTTCGGACCGTACTGTTCTTTGATCCACGGAAGAACATACTTACTTTAAATCCCGATGCAGACCTCCGTGTTGACATTGTCGCCTTCTGGAATGAACACCGCGTCAATTGTTTTGCCATCGGAAGCCACCAATCCAAACACCATAACGCTAGCAGGGTGCTTGGTCAGATACACGTTCTTGTGCTCGTCGGCCACGTCTTTTACCGGAAGAGAACTAATACACCGGTCGGTTCTGGAATTTGATACGGGATCGACGGTAAACATGCTCTCGTCGGTGAACAGGATTACCGGATTTTTTCGCTTAAGGTAGTTCAAGATTTTCTTGCATCGTTTGACTCGTAGCTCCCGGATGCGGTTGAATAAACAACTAACAGGTATAACAAGCACATTGGCACATCGTTTGACAAACGCAGAAGGAAGCTTGTCTGGTCCAGGACCCTTAGACGAATCGATAGAGCTCAGAGCGTTTTCAACGTCTGCTATTGAGATTGTAGGCCTTGAGCAGGGTTACTTCCACTCACTTGCTATAAAAAAATGTTTTTCGAAATTATGAAATCATGAAATAGTATAATGCTAATTAGTACTTGTAAGTTACAAGAAGAGGTCATGAAGTATATGTTTGACACATAAAATCTGTCAATATTGCTTTCAGTGCGTCAAAATCAGCGATTTTAAGACTCGTGAGCGCTCACTCTGAGTGAACGCTCGCGAATCATATGATCGCTGATTGTGACGCTCTGAAAGCGAAATTGACAGGTTTTATGAGTCAAACACATACTTTACCCCCTCTTTTTGTTACTTAGTAGTACAAAATATCATTATAATATCTGTAAATTGCGTAATTCCGAAAAATATTTTTTTATAGCAAGTGAGTGAAAGCAACCCTGGCCTTGAGAAGTTGATTATGTACAAGCTTTCCATAAGATAAGGGAAAACAAGTGGAGAGTCCGAAGAATAAACGCTTTGGAAAAAGTTTAACAATAATTTTGCAGATTCAGCAGTGTTACATGAATTAACACCACCAAACTCCGGGTATAGAGTTAGACGCTCACCTTGTCTCTATGAAAATTCCAAAATTTACCAATGAATTGAATAACCGTTGTACAGCTTATTAAAAATTAAAGTACCCTTAGTGTTGCAACAGGAGTGAAAATCGCTCGTCGAAGTTTCGGACGTCTATATAGCAAACTCCAAATTTGCTTTAGGTTAGCTTTTAGCTAGTTTTATTTTTTGTTAATTTAAAGGTACAAATTCGTTATTTCACATACATATTTTAGTCCTTTTAACGCGATCGATTCACTCTGCAGCCTGTATGTTTGTTGTTCGTTTAGGATCTATGTTGTTAATTTGTAGTAATAAGGTCATAATTTCATAAGAATCTTAATTTACTTACAATCTAATTCAAAAGTATTAACAATTTTAATTATAGCTTCTTAACAATAAGTATTACATATCAAATTAGCCTACATCAAACTGTGTATGTTCACATTTAGCTTTTATTGTTCATTATAAAACAGTCATTATCCACTTATGTTCTTTGTTCGGATTGAAGGTTTGCATCAACGTCAAAGCTATCCGTTACCCGTATCCCATTCCGAACGTTACGGATCGACGGTACAAGGTGAGGACTGTCGCGAACAGATGGTATAAAAGAAAGCAGGTTGGAGCTTTATCCATTTGAATTGTTTTATCCTTTGAAACATGTTCCCATAAAGCTCTTTCTAATAAGAACTCCAACAAGCGCATGCTCGCCAACCGTCGATTCGAACGGGTATCACTTTCAAGGGGGATAACTTCACTCACACAAAAAGCAATCTGCTATTCCGGTTGCCTACGCCCTTTTCTCTTTTTTTTTTGTAAGCCTTCAGTGACCCCTCTCGCGAGCATTGTTTGCAAACAATCTCTTTCAGTCAAACATACATCAATTTATTTTGCAAATCAATCGAAAAAAAAATTACTTTATATCTGTTTTATTTGCAATAACATTCACTTTGCATCCGTTAAAATGAAAAGCCGATCAGCGACGGCTTCATCTTCAAAGGAATCGAATGGAATTGAACTAGAGCGAACAAATATCAAGAGGCCATATAATCGTAAATCTTTGCTATGCCGACTATGCCTAAGGGTGCTTCCGAAGGAGCAACTTCCGGAAATATTTGAACATAACAACAACATACAAAAAGCCATACGTACAGCTGTTGGCACAGAAGTAAGATTTTCATCATTCTCCAAATCCACTACATTCATGGACATATTTACTTTTCCAGGTAACCCGGAAAGATCGATCGAATCGGATTTGTTTTTGCTGCCTTGAGTTGGTTCATTTGATTAATGACTTCCGTGGAAGCTGTGAACGAACGGAGCTGTTGTTTACTCAAAATGTAGAAATTTCTGACAGTGCTTTTTGGATCGATGAATCCGATCAGAAGGTGTTTGGAAAGTGCCGAGCTTTGGTTGAACAATGCAAAACTGAAGTTGATAACATTTTTACGGATCAATCGGAATTTTTCTGCAATGTTCAAACGGAACAGTTACTGGATGAATCATGCGATGCAGTTCAGAGATCTATTGCAGAACCTATCGTTAAGCGGGAGGAAACATATGATATCAACGACGTGGATGTGGAATCAAGCATTATTAAGGAAGAACCGCATGACGAACAGCACCTGGATCAGATTGACACTGATAGTGAGCCTGATTTTGAGGGCTCGGATACTGATGATCCGGATTATAAAATTGAAGATCAGCCTGAACAAAAAGAAGAAGAAGTCGAACCCAGTTCGACTACAACGGCAAAACGGAAAAAGCGAGAATCAGGCGGACTACCACGCCGTCGTGGACGGCCTTCCTTGCCGGAAGAACTGCTCAAACGAAGAAGACGTAAACCGGGTGAACCCAAGAAGAAGCCTGGACCGAAGAATCGAATTAAACTACCAGCTCAATCGGTAATTTCCTATTTATGTGCACACATCGATTGTTTATAATTTTCGCCAATATTTCAGGTTTGCGAAATCTGTGGAATGATGGTGAGTCGTGAAAATCAGGAACGGCATCGAAACGATCACCTCGGCAACCGCCCGTATGCCTGTACGGTCGAAGGTTGTTCCCATGCCTTCTCCAGTAAGGCTGGGCTGCACGGTCATCTGGCCCGACACGCAGACCGGAACAATGTATACGATTGTGACATTTGTGGAGCGAAAATCAAGACCAAAAGCTCTCTACACCGCCATAGGAAGATGCATACCACTGAGAAGCCACACGCATGTGATATTTGTGGCAAACGGTTCTGGCGGAAAAGCTATCTTAACCATCACGCTACGGTCCACACTGGGATTGCGAAATTCCCGTGCGAGTATTGTGGCTTTGTTTTTAAAAATAAGTATTGGCGCTCGTTCCACATCAAGCAGAAACATGTGGCCAAAGGGGAGGCGCCCAAGTTTGAAGCATTAGAAGAGTTGGAGGAGAATGGTGAAATGGCTGAAGTTATGGAGGAAGGAATGGAGATGGGTATGATTTAGACCTGGAATATCAAATAAAGTAGCGATTGAACGGAATGGTACGGTCTGATTTTTGGGAAACTCTTCACCGTTAACGAATTTTGGCAAACACAATTTCAAATTGAACCCGAACCACGGTTATCTACCGTATTCCCTTTACCGTTTTCTTGCTAATAATTCCTAAATTAATTGTTTCGAATTGCTCTTATTTTTTTGGAATATCACAAAGGGGGAAATATAAAAAAAAATCAGTGTAGATTTAACAGAATTTATAAATAAATTGTTATTAGACCAGTACGACATGCCAGGTCCTTGAAATCGAATCAGCCGGTTTCAATTGTTGAAAATGGATTTCATTGAACATCATTCCTAATCTTGTTTGGCAACTCACTAGGTTATCCGCCTTCAATCTGATCGATCCCTCTTGTTCGTTGCGCACATCTTCGTCTAGTTCCAGTCGGATCACTACCAAGAACCATTTTCATTGGGTCGTTTTCCGACATTGTTACGATGTGCCCAGCCTACCGCAGTCGCCAGATTTTTGCATTCGATCTAAATTTCTCAACTTACAAACCTGCTCCAATGATACTTAATGATTCAAATCTTTTCTACAGTGATTCAACAATTTCCGAGCTAAATCAAAATTTGTTTAACATTTTTAAAAGTGAGACCAAATCAGAAACGATTTCTAACTGAGTCTATTCTTTTCTGATATGTTATTCAATCCTTTTTAAAGTTGTCAAAGCTTTCCTGAAGTGATTCAACATATCCCGAATCCAAGCTTTAAAGAATTGGTTTCGCATTTTCTAAAGTGAGGCAACATTAGCTGATTTAAAACCTCTCCTAAATGAATCCAAGGTTTCCTGCATTGATTCAACTTTTCAGAACTGAAACCAAACTTGTCAGAGCGGGTTTGACATTTTCCTAAGTGAGCTCCAGATTTTTCTTAACTGCTTTGGCATTTGGCATTGACACAATATTGCTTAGGTCATCTAGCTTTCCTAAAAGTGTAGAAAGTTTTCTAAAGTGAACCGACACTTTATTGAATTCTAAATCTCACTCCATTTTCTAAATGGAGCTCAACCTAAATTGGTTCAATATCTTCCTTATGGAGTCCAAAATTTTCTGTTGAGTGATTGAATTATATGGAATGTTAGTCTGAGCTTTTCTTAAGTGATTTACCTAACTTTTAACGTAGATTCCGCTCCCTTAGACCCCTTCCTCGTTCTTGTGAGATTAACAACCTTTGAAAATGAGGCTGAGATTTTAAAGAATGGACCTTCGTGTGTTCATACCTGATGGTAGATTTTGACGTAGGACTACGTCTTTGATTTCTATATGGGGGTACACTTTGTGAAAACCGAAAATGGAATATGTAACAAATTAAGAAAGATTTTGAACGTTAATAACTCAGCTGCCCCTGAGCAAATTTCAATCATTTTATCACCAATCGATCAGAAATATGGTTACGCATCGATAACAATGCTTCCGAATGTTGATTTTCAACACGAAACTATTGAAAATCTGGTAAGTGTCCAGCATTGTCCAAAAGCGTCGAATTAACTAACAAATCCACCAATTACCTACATGCATATGCTGCTTACCCAGCACAGTCGTCAGAGAGTAGTAAGTAGACGAAATAAGTCGAAGTGGCATTCGCCTCAGATCCTCGGCCGCGTGCGAATAGGGAGGATGGAATTGCGTAATATGTTGCACACTAATTGCCATATTCAGAACCAAACGCAAATTCTTCGAGATAACCACCATCCGTCGTCTGGCTTGCCGTGGCGGTGTCTGACGTATCTCCGGTCTGATTTACGAGGTGTGCTGAAGGTGTTCCTGAAAAACGAGATCCGTAATGCTGTCACACTAAACACGCCAAGCGTTAGCGGTCATGGAAGTCATCTACGTTTTGAAGTGAGACGCACTCTGTTTGGTTTCGGAGGTTAAATAATCACAAACTTTGGCAACAAAACGACTCTTTTCAGGGCCATTAAGCTTATTTACAGTAAAGAGTAGGAATAGAATTAATCTGCCTGTTTGTCCTTATTCAGAACCAACGATCACACAAAATGCTCATGTAATCATACTGGAAGCAGGGGTCTAAAACCCTTGTGTGAAGAGTGTTTTCAGCAGAAACGTTAAAAAGATGTGTCTAAATGTAGGCAATTCCATTCACATCACTAGTAATTTTGCGAAAAACCTGGATTTCTTGATAATTGAAATATTCCACCGCAATTTATTTAATAATTAGGATTCATTGGCATTTCAGTCAGCGTCAAGACCCGAAGGCTAACGGTTGTGATTAGGAGAGGCTAGGTCGATTGTGACTAGTTAAACGTGTTGAATAGTGGCAGAAATTACGATAGATAGGCGTTTTTCGGAGGATATCGAGGGAGGTTTAAGTGGAAGGAGCTGATGGTAGTGACATTGGAGCGGGGATACTGGAATTATCGGATTTTGTGATTAAGGACGAGTGGCGCGAGTTATAGAGAAAAGGGAAAAAAATAATCGGAAGCAAATATTTCAGAAGTGAAACTCTACACAGAGTTGATGAGAGAGTGAGAGAATACTTCTATAATAGAAAGAAGGAGAAAAGAAATAATAGGAAAAAGTGAAGAGTCAGTATTAGTGAAAAAAGATTTCCGCAAAATTATATGAATGTAGAATCTCTCTGGGTGGACCCCGAGAAGTAAAGAGAGAAGTAATAAGAAGCTTATGAAGTGCATTGGTTTAGGTAGTATCTGTGCCAGATCGCGAAGAAGTGTGAGAGTTGGTTGGTATAGGTGAATTGCAAAAGTAATTGGTGGTATAGGTGCAAACAGCAGTGAGAGAGCGAAGAATAAAGCTGAAGGATCGCAGATACACTGGACGAAATACAGGTTTGATTTCCCTTGTATTGATTCAAGGTAAGATTTAGTGATTTTGTGATAAATAATAAAAATCATTTTCGGACTAGTGACCGAAAGTTTTTTTTTTAAATTAATTCAAAAAAAGGTTATGCAAAATGGATAGTTACATAAGTAAAACATTGTCTAATGGAAAAATAGCTGTTGTAAAATCTGTGAGCGAAAACAGTTTGCCAAATGCCATGATAGATCAATTGAACAGGACTAACATAGAATTTGAAAGTCATTCATTTAATGCTACAGAATTTGGGGTTTTACTTTGGGATTTTATTAATAATAAGTATTCATTATATTACCAACTATGGGGAGAGAGGGTTCAAATGATAAGGGATAAAATAATTACAAATTCCACGGGAGTTGAAGTGGAAATCATACAAGTAACGGCTGAAATGTTCAACATTAAAATTAATATCATTCAAAACGACGGAAGTGTGGAAACCTTTAAACCGGTTGGGGAAGAAATGTTGCATCGGGAAGTGAACATATTATTTGAGTTCGAAGATAGGGTAGACAAATTCTACAGTGTTATTGAAGTTATGGGGTGTAAAAAAAACTAAGGAAAGCACGATAAAGAGAGCAGAAGATGAAAACATGTTGCAAGTTAGAGGAGCCGACACATATGTTGTTAAGGAGTTTAGATCAGGCGAAGGGTTGTTGATTAAAAAAATTGAAGGGGATGGGAATTGTTTAATAAGGGCACTATTAGATCAGCTTAATAGGAGGGAGCGGAACTATTCATGTACTAAGGAAGATATAATGGGATGTAGGTCATCATTAGCAAACTACATGCAGGCCAACAGAGAAAGGTTCGAGTTGTTTATAATAGAAGGATTGATAGAAGGAGGTTTTGATAAATTTTTAAAAGAAGTTAAGCAGTTTGGAACTTGGCTAGGGTACGAATCCCTAGTTGCAGCCGCAGAATATTTTGATAAACACATTGTGGTATATCAAAACGATTGTGACTGTTTAAGAATAGGTGATGAAAAAAACAGAGAGGAGAATATTCTGAGGCTATTGTATACAGGAAGTATAGAGAAAAATCATTATGATAGTGTGATCGGGAAAATCAAGCAGGGAGAATTAACGAGTACAGTGAATGCTATAGAAGAGAGCAATAACATTGAAAAGATTGAAGTTAATCTGGGGAATTTAAGTGGAGCAAAGGTGCACAACAGAGGGGAACAGAATTTATCATTGTCAGTTGGAAACGAGGAAAATTATATGCGGAAGAGGAATAAAGAGGAAAGTATTCTGAAGATAGCATCGTTGAACATAAGGGGTTGTTGTAAGTTAGAGAAAAGAGAAGAAATAGATCAGGTACTTAATTCTTTTGAAGTAGATATTGCTGCCTTACAGGAAGTAAACGTTAAGGCATTGGCAATCGAGTCGAAAAACTACGAATGGAGATTAGCTTCTAGTAAGCAGAACAAATCGAGAGGATTGGCCTTTTTGATAAAGAGAGGTAAGAACATTGTAGTTTCAGATTGGAGAGAAATCGGAAATCAGGCAGTATCGGTTAAATTGAGGGTAGATGGAAATACAATTTTTATCATTAATGTTCACGGTCCAAACAAGAAAAGCTATATTTTCTACTCAAAATTAGGTAAGATAATAGACCAAGAAAATATAAGAAGAAACCTGATACTTGTTGGAGATTGGAATGCCCAAATTGGAGAGGACAATGTAACACCAGATGAGGAAAATATAATTGGAAGAAGATTAGGATTCAAACACTCGAATGAAAATGGGGAGGAATTCAAAACATTCCTTAACATACATAAAATTACTAACATATCCTCAAAAATGGGAATTAACACGGATGTAACGTGGAGAAGTAAACAACGAAAAAGCCAAATCGACCATGTATTAAAGCCAAAAGAAAGTTTACTGTACATAAGGTTCATTAAGGGATATTGGACGAGAATTGAAACTGACCATAAAATGATCATCACTGGAATAAGATTATCGACTATCATACCAAGATCGGACAAGGGATTGCAAGGAAAAAACAAAATATCTCTAGACGCATCAAACTTGAAACTAGATTTCATCCAAGAAAAATATGTGGAAGCATTGGATAGAAACAAAATACTAATCAGAATGCAAGACAGTAGTGTGGATGAGGCCTACAAGGAAATAACGAAAA